GGCTTTATGTCTTCATATAATTTCACTTTAATTTCCAACGGGTATTCTAATCCAGGTTAGACTGCAGTTTATACTTTTCCTAGGTCTCATCAGCACCCTTAGCAGGACTCGAACCCGGCTTATAATAGTGTAGCGCACAGCCTTGACACGCTAATCACTACGCCAGACTGCAAATAGTACCTTTGGGTTACAGGACAAAAGTTAATGTCAATGATGCCTATGCCTTTCCCATATCGCAATAACATAGTGGGATTGTCGACGAAGCGACGTTTTATTTGATATAGAATTTGACTACATCACCTGTTTTTCGTTTCAATGTATTTATTTAGCTACTCTCTGTAGCCCACCATAAATCTCTGCGATTGCATTGACTTTGTTTTGTTACATTAATCTTATTTTCTTAGCAAGCTTGAATTACCCTTTTGGGTTACAGGTGAGGGGAGCTTTTTCTAGTGTATTAGCTAAAATACCTGCATATTCGTTCAAAATCCCCACAATATACATTAAATTTACAGGCAATTGATTTGCCCTACAAGTATTTATATCGGCGTTTTTATAGATTAAGAACTTAGTTAAGTTAAATCACTTTATGGGGTTTCAGAGCCAATGGTTGATTTTTTCACTATGTTTATGAGTGGGCCTTGTGCCATTGAATTTCACTTAGCCTTGCCTTTCAAAACATTTGGTTATCAAATATCTTGATTAATTTGGTTAGACTATATTTTAATCCTTCTTCTATTGGGGTGTTGATAGTTAATGGTCATTAAAAAAGATCACAGTTATGAATACCAAGATGGGGTGGTCTTTGGTATGGTCGCGCTCTACTTTAGATGTAGAGAAGTGGGCTGACCTCGCTTTAGCATTTTTGTTAGACGCGCCTCTCCGAAGTTCTCTGCCATAGTAGTTAACATAATTCCCAGCGTCGGACCTTGTCTTGGTAAATTCCCAGACGTTTAGACGACATCGTCAGTGAGTCTTGTTAGTCTCAGTACAAAGCCACAACTCGTCAGAGAGGCAAGTGAAGTCAATCTCTTGATCAACTTTCTGTCGAGATAGTTGAATTATGACTCCTCTTTTTGTCCTAGCCCATCTATCTACTTACTCTCTTATCACACTCCCGTCCTATCACAACCACTGACTTGTTTATATTCTACTTCTCGAGAGGTGTGCCCTTTTTGGCTAGTTTAGTGTGATGAAGGCAAAGCAAGCATGGGAATTAGAGCCTTGGTGCTCTCCTCGATTAGGCGATAATGTATGTGCTTATAAAGCCTTGAAAAATTACGCCTGGAGTAAAACGAACACTAGGACTGGAATCTGGTGAAGTCAGCCAACCACAAAGATAAAACGAATCTAAGGAACTGTTAAAGTGATCAAGAGGAGGGCGGGACAAGGTAAATAGCAGGTGTGATGATGCCACACTAAACTAGCCAAAAAAGACACACCTCTTGAGAAGTGGAATATAAACAAGTCAGTGGTTGTGATAGGGCAGAAGTGTGATAAGAGAGTAAGATAGATGAGCCAGGACAGAAAGAATAGTGATAGTGCACGTTTGGACAGAAAGTTGGTCAATTGATTGACTTCATTTGCCTCTGACGAGTTGTGGCTTGGTGCTGAGATTGACAAGACTCACTGACGATGTCAAAACGTCTGGGAATGTACCAAGTCCAAGGTCCGACGCTGGGAATTATGGTAACTACTATAGCAGAGAACTTCAGACAAGGCGAGTCTAACTAAGTCACCTTAACAGTACGACCAAGTTGCGAAAATAAGGTCAGCCCACATTTGTTGTGCCCTATCACTCGTACCCCGAATTTCGTTTAGTTTATATTTCCTCGACATACTTTATATATTTTCATGCGTTTAACTTATATTTACTAATTTTATGATATCATAATAGTATGTAGAAATAGGTCGTTTAGGTTTAAGTAATCGTTTACTACAAATATCCTGAGCCTATTTAATTTTAATTACTCAAATAATTTTTTTTCCTGCAAATTTTTTATCCTCTTGCAGCTTTTTTTAAGTGCATAAACTCACGAGAGTTGTAACATGCCTTTTTCAGCTTAGGCGCTTGCTTTGCTAGAACACCCACTGGTTCACTTTATCTTTCCGGTCAATTCTAACTGTATTACGTCGATTCCTATTTGGAGCAAGATTGATTTCCAAATCGTGTTATGATTATCGGACCTATCCTTATCTATCCTATTGATCATGCTTTTGGGTTTCGGTATAAGTTATTACTTACTCTTGTATGTTTCTGTTATAACAAGTTGTTCTTAGGTTAGTTAAGTGGCCTATTTCTTCGTTGACTCTTCCTATTCACTATGCATATTTTACGTCGTGTCTTTGTCCTTACCTATACCGATGTCTCATTCTATTGGTTACAGTAAGGCAAAGTTGCATATATCAACCGATTATACCGTATGAGCTTGAGTCTAAGTGTCACTTATTTCGGCTGTCTGACATCTTATTTATTCATATCTTTCATAACATTGAAAGTCTACTCGGTTGGGAAGCTATGCTTCTGGCAAGTTCGTTAGACGTAAACTATTATGAGGTTTCTGTAACCTTAACTCTCGGGGCGCCGGCTTACCATTATTAAATCTATTCATCAAAGTTACATTTTGTTTTTTTAGCTTTGCTGTTAAGTATTTGAGCTGAAGCGACTTGTATTTATACATTTAATCTTTAATAGAATATTCTCGTGAATATTTAATATGCCGAATTAATGTGGGTTCTTAAGTATAGCTAATCACTATGACCTGTTATTGTAACAACTATATATAATGGAAAAGCCTTTATCTTATGCGACTGAATCTTTCATTTCCAATGAAAAGTTGGTGAAATTTACACAAAAGTTTGTCGAAGAATGTCTTTGCTCTGAATCTTGTCATATCAGTCTGGAAATCAGCAGGAATTCTTCTATGCCACAGGACGGTGCGACGAAGACTTTTTCGCTCTTATCAACGATCATAAGGCAATCTTCATTCGGTTTCTGGTGAGACAAATTTATAGATCCATTCCATCCAGCTTTTAACGAAAAACAAAGGTTCCATTGGCATTCTGAATAATATACTTAATGTAGCTTACTGAATCGCCTATGCTTAGGTTTTACAATTAAAAAGACTCGTTTCCATGCCTACTTGGTTTTGTTCATTTCGCCATACTTATTGCTCTTTCACGATATGTTATTAACTCTGTGAGCCGATTCTTTATCATCTCTTTTCAGATGACTCCAGAACGTGTCAACAAACTTATCTTTCGGATCCGTGATTCCTTATCTGAGCTTGATGCTAATCCTTTATCATGTCATATTCAAGCGCAATTTGACAATACTTGTGAGTACCTGCGTCGACGCAAAATGGACTTCGTTTGGCATATAACCGCCGAAATGTCTCCGGCTGGCGAAGTAAATGGGGCAGATAAGGAGCCGAATGTGATAATAGTGGATGAAAATCGAGATGGTGTAGAGTCAAAGGAACCTGAAACAGATCCAGATTCCTTTCGATTTGATCCATCTGTGTTGGCTGCGATTCAGCTGTGAAATAAATATTTGTGGCATTTTTACAAAATACATAGTTTTTGCTTTTTACACTATCACATTTAAACTTTTACCCTTCCGTCTTTTCACATAAATATACCTGCCTCCTCCCCTTTCTCTGCCTCTTTCTTGTAAACATTCCTCTATTCTGGTCATTAGATTTATTTGATTCTGATTCTTACCAAATTATACTTGTAATTATACCTTAACCCGTTGTTTTTTCTAT